AAAAGTAGCCTTGTAGTTATACATTCAGTGACTTAAGTGTTCATTAGACATCAGACACATTAAAGTAGATGAAACACCTTCCAAAGCTGGCAACTAGAATGCCTGGAAATGGGATTTGCAATTGTGTTTTCCAAGAGAGTGAAACAAAAAGGCAACACCAAACCAGCGCTGACCCGAGCTGTGCACTGCTGGGTGGGCACCGTCCCTCGCCACTGCTGCGCGGCCCTATGCCCGTGGGACCCTTCTCTCTGCAACTCGTTAGCTTCTATTTATTACATCTCATCTTGCACGAGTTATTCTAAAGAAAAGATTCATTATTGCAGATTTTTTTTTAATCCCTACCCGCTGCAGAGCAGAATATCTCATCTGCCAATTAAACCAGGGCTACATCTAGACAGTTTTAATTCCAATGGATGAAAAACGGATTACTTTAGCACAACTGTGATCTTCTTTTAATAACTAACAGATCAAGCACAGCAGAGTCACCTTCCTGTTTGGAAAGAGACAACGGAAAGAAAAAAACCTTCAGGAAACATAACATTTCATACTCATGCATGCACTAAAGCTGTTCTTTGGCTACTGAGACACCTTGTCCTCACCTGGGGAGTAACTCCATCCTGTGTCTGCTGCAGACGTGGGGATGTTGCACCTATTTGGTGACCTTCTGACACAAAACAGCAACCCAAGCTGCCAAGCACTGTAATGCTGTCACAGGGTAAGTGATGGGCAAGCAGGCAGAGAACATGATCCAAATTCTGGATCTGGGATGCCAGATCGCAAGGACACTCTCTAAATGATTCGCAAGGCAGGAAGGAAATAAAATGTGATGGACTATTTTTCTCTAATATAACCCTTGTTAGTCGATCTGCAGCTGGTAGTTAAGTGCTTCCTTTTCCTCCCTAAATATAGATGAAATGCTCAGCATGAGAACAACTTCAACGCCTTTCACCCAACCTCTCCAGCCTTCTGCAAGCGCAGCCAGGACGCACGTGAAGCCTGCACATCCCATCTGAGCCCCCATGGTACAGGCATGAGTGGTGCTGGAAAATCCAGTGGGAAGGTAAAGGCCGATTCCCTCTTTGCTGGGAAAATTTCTTGGTTGGTGGAGAATGATGAGCACCTTTGGCCATGCTACTATCTCTCCCCAACTCATTTTAGTTCAAACTACCCATGACACCTGCCTTGGAGGTACCCTGTGTACCCTCAGCACTGCATTTTGGTTTTGGGAAATGAAGTCATTAGAGGGACCTTCCTAAAAGCATCTGTATTGGGTCATTTTGTGGATGCCAAGCTCACCCTGTGGCACTGGTGAACGCAACGCTAGCCCAGACCGTATCCACCAGGGAAACAATCCAACTGGTGAGACAAGGGAGGTCTGGGGCTCAGTACAACATCTGTACCAGGAGGGAAACGTCTGGATCCAGGGTGTGGACTTTGATCTGGTTGTGGAAGTCAGATGTGCCCATTTATTAAGGCAAAAAAGGATGATGAGAGCCCATTTTCTGAGCTCACTGGCCATTCATTTCACCTTGCTAACTGGGACCTCCAAACAGAGCAAAAAGGGACGGGATTTCAGGACTATCCCCTGTGCTATGCATGGCTAATTGACACAGAAATCAGTCCCAGCACAGCAAAGAGACAGAGATGCTCTCACGTACTACAAGATCTAAGGACCAGATCGAGCAGCAGCACATCATACAGACTGCACTAACAAGAAACTCACAGCTGTAAAGCAACAGGGAGAACATGGCTGGAAAACAACCCACTTGCAAAAGCAAGGTAGATATTTAATTAATGTAATGTGAGATAATTGGCAGGCAAGCATTTTGACACAATGGAATGGGTGGTAAACACACGCATAGAGCAAACGCAACAAAGCAGGGCAAAGGGTTTTTTCCTAGAAATTACTAAGGTGCTAACTTTCATTTAGAAGAAATCTTTGTTGCAAGGCAGCTGCAGCACATTCTCCTTTCTTAGGCACTTGTTATGGTTGTCTCAAGGATACATTTATTGTTACAACCCAGGAAAAGCAGCCATCTAAGGTCTCTCTCTGGAAAAACATTACTTGAATTAACTGTTAAATTATAAAGTTGCTGCTGTCTATCTCAGCCAATTAGTTCAAATGCGCTGTAATAAATTAGATTATTTTTTTTGGTACCATGGTGTTTATAGGAATTGCTACATAGCAAATATAATTACTGAAGAATTTAGCACTATTGCTAAAAAAAAAGAACCAAAGATGATGGAGGCAAAACACGCAAGGCACCTCTCAAGGAGAGAGGGAAACCAGCACGCAGCAGGGAGCAGAAAGCTGGGAGAAGGATGCAGGAAAGACAGGGGAGAGTAGCTCTCCCAGCCATGGGAAGCCAGATCGAGCCAAGGGAAGGCTGCACTCAAGCCTGGTTGTCTTTGCTTGTCCTTCAGGCTTAAGAAGCTGATACCCAGTTGGCCCCAAAAAAGTGGAAATACAAGTAACCACTGGTTTGTCAGGTAACTGTGAGCAGGGTGCAGGTATTCTCTATTTTTTAGGGCTCTGTGAGGGGTAACTGGAAGACAAACATTTTGCTGTAAGGCTTGAGTTTGAGACTTTTTAAGCTGTCCTTGGATATTACAGGACTGTCAGATTCGAAGCTCTCCGAGGTAAGTGGGGTGCATCTCACTTCCTGAGACCCATCGAGCCCTGAACGCTTTCACAAGCACCTCGCCTGGAACTGCAGACAGACACTCAGACACCAGGAACCCACTTCTGGTCAGCCAGGGGCAGGGGGGAGGTATGTGGGGGAAAAGACTTGAAAACCTAATGGTAGATTTTTAAGACACTGAGGTACCCCAAAAAACGCAACAGCTCCTATCTCTGTATCACCTCTTGATTTCCTGAGAAAAGAAGGTAACACCAAACATACAAACTGCAGTTTCCTCTGCCTAAGAATCTCTTTTTCTACCTAAATCCCTGGCCTTAAGAGCCTAAATCCTAACCTATTATTCATCAGGCAAGCAGGTGCCAATCAATGATTTTCCATAAATCAAGGAGCAGAGGCTACAAGCAAGACGCATACTTTCTCTGACATTTGCAGACTCTTTTCTACAGGCTGGCATTTCAATACTGGTGTTTAAAATTATTAATTTGAGCATTGTTTGAACACCTCAAAACTCAGGCCTAGCAGGACACAGTGAAATAAATCACATTTCCAAATGATTTTTATTACTGTTTTCCTGCAACTCCTTAATTTTTTAAAGATACTTTTGATTTTGCAATTACTCATTATAGCTTGATTGTTCCCAGAGCACAGGTTTCCCGCAAATAATATGCACTGACAAATTTTATTCTCCACTGGAGCCTGAAATTCAGAATTAAACGTAATAGAAATAAATTTATTTTTTATTAGTTATTTTAGTACCGAGTACAAATTGTTTCCAAAAGACACCCTCTCCTAATGGCTTTGGAAAGCAAAGTAGCTGTTGAATTCCTCCTGGGCCAGTATCAATCTATTCTTGTTACTAATGGTGTTACTCAAATTATGCATCAATAAGTTAGGTGGCAATGTGTTTCCTTTCTTTCCCTGGGCCTCTCACCTTAGAAGAGGAAAAAATATTTTGCGTTCAAGGATTTGCTTAGGCACAGTTGCCAGCAGCAACAACCAAGGACGAGACTGTAAATAAAGCAACTTTTAGGCGAGTTAAAACAAAAATAACGACAGGTATCCCGTTTTTCTCTGCTCCTTTGCAGCTATTCCCATAAAAAGGCAAATCGCAAAAGCAAGCAACAATTTTGTAACTGTGTGGAAGTTTTCAACAACGAGACTCCAACCATTTTCAGACACTGATTTAAAATACTTTGGATCTTTTACAAGTTGAGATTTTTAACCAGTTACTCCCCTGTGCGCACTGTGAATCACCTCGCATGGGAAGCCCTACACCACCTCTCACTAAAAGCAGCTCCCATCTAAGTGAGGGACACAAGAGCATTCGTAACTTCAGCAAACACAAGCAAAGAATATGCAAAGAGTAAAATCATCACAATTAGCATAATAAGTAGCTGCTCTATCAGTTGCCTAGCTAGCACATTATTATTATCTTTCTATGAAGCTTTTCTGGAGCTCAGAAAGCCAAACTGTACTCAGTATTTTTCATACTCTGCATCCTTTAAAAAGAAATATTTTTTTTTTGTCATTTCACTTTTATTTCAGATTGTTTTGATGGTGTTTATGAATGGACACAAGTTTCAAACAAACCATTTTACACACATACAGGCTGCTGAAACATGCTTGGCCTGTGAAGCACCCCAGTATCATAAGGGATGCTGGACTGGTGTCAGGAGGCAGCACCACTACCTCCCCTCCATCGTTAGATGGGGAATGCACATAATTGTTCTAACCACTTCATTTGTCCTGCAAGAGTTTTGTAAAAAGGCAGCTCCAGTCTCAAAAGCAAAGCATCCTCTGCTAACATTCATGTAACATCCCATTCATTAGTCTTTTGCCAAGATTATTTCTCTAAACGGAAACAAAATACATTATTTCAACTCTGGTTGAAAGGAAGGAGGTCTACAGTTCTGTAGGTATCACAAAGATCCTGAAGTGGAAAAACACAGCCCTAATCTATTCTGGTGTAGCTTCCTTACCGAGCTGTATATACCGCTGAAAAACAGAAACAAGACAAACCAGCTGACCCACATCGACAGCATTTGTTCTTGCCCTTCTCAAAATGCAACGCGAGTGCGACAAAGCACACAAGACACTGCACTGAGCTCCTCCTGGAGCCGTTAAATGCTTCTTGCCTGGATTGCCACAGTAGTGCTATGAGTTACCACAACTGGCTACGACCTGCAGCGGCTTCAGTAACTATTTCACAGCACGCTCTCCAATATATGTTATGCCTCTTTTTCCCTCCAAAAAGTATCCAGCAAACACTAGAGAGAAACCGTGTTGGAACAAGGCAATTGTACAACACTTCCAAGGAGAAGATACGGTGCCTGGTATCACACCCTGGCACAGTCTCACCTTTTTGTGAGCTATCAGGAGACAGTTCGAGTGTTCATGCTCGCATGCGATTTCATAGTCCGGGATGAGGTCAGCCAGCTCCTGGACGAAGTGCACCACCTCCTCATGCCAGGGAACATTGGCCATGGTGAGGTTGCTGGCCGAGCTTTCACCGCAGTACGTCACACCCTGAGAAGAAACATGGAAACCATCACTGTCAGCTTAACCCTTCACAAGTTCAGGGCAGTACCAGCACATCAGCCACAGTAAACCCTGAAAACAGTCTGGTTTGGCCCCCCTTCATACTGTATCTTATGGAAAGGTAAGAAATTTGGAGATGGGATCAAAAAAAAAAAATCAGTCTCCTTCAGTGACACAAACTACTGTGTGCCCAGGCTTTCCCAGCAGTAAGACACAAGTTATTCTTTATCCTGGAAAATAACTTTAAAAACATTCAAATGGAGGATGCTTGTGCTCCTGAGCTACCAAGGGACCTTTGAGAAAGTCACTTGGTTTTGAAATATGACATCCCTGGAAGAAAGTCTCATGAACAACCAACGCAACAAGTCAGTGAACCTTGAGGTCTTCTGAAGACAAATGCTAATTTTAGCTGCAAACCAGAGGGATGGAATTGGGCTTTAAATGTGGAAAAGTGGTGAATCTGCACGGTCTAGTTTCCCTTCACTAAGGCCTTTGCTAAACCACAAGCAACTCCATGGGGATGAACACATCTTCACTGGGGGCAAAAAGGGCTCCCCCCAAAAAAATAGGGCTTTGCTTCTGCCCCTCTGCTCATCTACACTGTTTTTCTGCAGTAGCCAAGCACCTAACGATCCTTAATGAAACTGGCAAGTCCACACCTCTGGCAGCAACACGCTCTTACCCTCTTTTTACAGTCTGGAAAAAAAGGGAGGCAAAGATTTTCCAGGGCCATGGGAGAGGAAGGATGGCTGCCCTGGACAGCATCGTGCCACTGCTGAAACCGCATCTTCCTAATCCAGCCTGCTTCACCTCTGGTCTGCTCCTCTCCATGGCAGCACTGCTCCTCCAACTTCTAGTTAGGACAAGACTCACAAAACTAAGAAAATTTCGAGTCTAGAGGAAGGCTTTGTTATTCATTCACTCCTTGAGAGGCAGAAGTACCCCAGTCGCTCAGCAATGAGCTCACTGTTGAGGCGACCACGGCACAGACCACCAAGGCTCTCAACACCAGCATGAAAGGATGAACATGAAGCATCATGTTGCCAAGTGCTTCTAGAAACCAGGTGGAGAACTCTGCTCAAGCTCCTCCATCTAGCTAAAGAAACACAAGTCACCAGTTTCTAAGATTATTTTTTAATTCTCCAGCACGCTACTAGCAGCTCTGTTCGCATGGAAGTCTGCAGGCTGCTCACCAGAATTTGAAGGAAGATGGTGAACACTCTCCTCCCTGCTTTTCCACCCAGACCTCACCTACAGGAGAGGGCAGTTGCTGTAGCTGTCAGGCACTCAGTGCTGCAGACCCTTGTTTAAAAAAAAATTTTTTTTTTTTTTTTTTTTTAAAAAGCCTGGGGGCACTTGTCCAAACTACTCAATATCCCCCCTGGATACTGAGGGCCATGAGCTACATACAAAAATAACATCGGCACAGTAAAGCCAGTGCAAACACAGTCAGTAAACACACAGATTATTCTTCAGGGCCGAGTACACGAGCAAACACCCCAAAATATAAAAGCACTTGTAAAAACTCCCTCCAGCTCGTCTCACTCTTACTATCCTTCACTTAAATTAATTCAGCAAATACTGAGAACTGTTTGGAAAAAAGCCTATCACTGCCTGTGCCTCCTGCACATGCAGGAGGAGGGTGAAAATCCGGGCTTAATTTGGTGCTGTAGAGAAACTCTTATTGTTTACTGATGAGTAGAATTGACCTGATGACATTAAAAAGCAGCTTGTGTTGTTCTAGTCAAAGGCCACCAGAACAAATGAGGAATTTCTATAATCCTACCACTCCACAAAGAGTCCATGCTGCTTTGTGAAACACAGAAGTGAGGTAATTGCCCCAGAGTGAACATCCACAAGAAACATAGAAGGATTTTTTTCCATAAGATTGGCGATCAGCACAAATCAATCTCCCACCCAACGCTGTCTGCCAGCTGAAAGGCCAGCACCATCGCTCATGCGCCCCCAAAGACCCCATCGCTCCTGATCTCCCCTGACTTGGCAGAAGTAAAGGTCATGCAGTGCTGGCACGGCGTATCTGCACCCAAAACCAAAAAAGCTAATCCACGGGGTGGGAAGCACCCAGCACATGCAGGCTGATGTGACAAGCACTACAAGCATCCCTTTGCCAGAGCACAAAGAGAAGTTCTCCACTGCACACTGGCTTGCAAAGCGCTATAGCCCACCACTGTGAACAGGCAGGAATCTTTGGGGAAACACCTTTTCTGATCGTTTTCTGGAAGGACACTCAGAACTAGTCACTAATTTAGAAGTGGCTATAGATATCTTTTTGTCAGATTTAACTGTATTAACTCAGCAGAGATAATTGGGCTCTTGCTCCAGCTCCCTTCCCAACCACCCAATACAGCAAACGGACCAAAGGAGAGCATGTTGGAGTGGGACACACATGTTCCTGCTGTGCCCTACACAAAGCCAAGACACAAGCACTGCTGGTTTGGGTGATTTACTTTCAACAGAAGCTGAGGTCCTCTGGGTCACTGCAATACCCATCCCCTGCAGCAGCCAGCTCCATACCCTGTAACAATCACTTGTCAGTGATTGCAACCCCTCAAGTTCTCCTACAACCCACTCCACTCCAGCCTCACAATTTTGAGATCAGCTGCTCTTAATTTGGAGATTTGATTACTTGAACATCCTGAATTACTGATTTATTTAGTCTTAGCCATGACCCCAAATTCACTACTGCTGTGTTTCATCTTTATTAGCTCAGTAGAATGTGGCTTACTGAGACGTATTTTTGCTTATTTGTTTCTTTCCAGATAAAATTAATTAAAGGCTCATCCAGCTGGTTTAACCTGTGGTATTACAACACAGGTCACAAACCCACTGGCACCCAAACGGGCAAACTCACACAAGAAACAGCTTTCCTTCTAGACATCAGCTCAACTGCTCTGTACCTCTCTAGGTGGTTTCACCACCTTTGCTCTTTGGCTAAGCTGTTACTCCAGTCACAAAATCCCATCAAGCATCGGTCTTTAAAACAGAGCACACAAAATTTTATGGATGATTATGTTTTGCATTTTCATGTTCTTCCTCTGTGAAGAACACTTCTACTTCTTTTAAGTGGCATTTGCATCCACACTATGTTTATGGCACCTGGTCCCAGCTGACGCTGCGCTCCCAAGACCTAATTCACCTACATTAAAGTTGAACATGTCATGTCCAGCAATAAACAGAGACAGACCCTTTGCAAACACTTAAAATTAGAGCAAGGTGAGCCACACAGTGCTTAAATAGGGCTACAAAAGAAACAGACTCATGCTAATTAGAAACTGTACAAGTTTTGGAAGCAATTACTTTCTTGCTGGTAAATTTATGAGGTACCTCCTCGATTAATCCACCCGAGGAAAGGATATTAGAGCCGCACACCATAACTCAGAGCCAGCGTGGAAGCAGGTTGACTGTGCACAACGGCAGACAAGTCGGGGAAGTGCTAAACAGGGAAGTACATTAATTTTTTAGCTTGGCTCTGAAAGTCTGAAAAAGATTTTAAGTGTTCTTATATTACACCAGCCAGCCACGCAAATAATAGGATATGTATCTCCAAAGCTCAGTTGTATAGACGCAGCTCCATATAGCAATATTTTCCCCGCTTTCATTATACAGATTATGATTTGAGCAGCATGGAAAATGTATGACTACAGAGAGGGAAAATTCTTAGGAAGCTACAACATGACTCATTCTTTTAATAAACTTCAAAGATATCATTTACAAGCAAAGAAAGCACAGAGGCAAATGGAATAACTAAGTGCTCGGATGGCTGATTAATTCACAAGCACAAATCAATGAAAATCAGCTTAGCAGCACACCGAGTGAAAGCACATCAGCTTTCAACTTCCCCAACTTCTTAAAACTTGAGTTAATTAACAGTGCTGATACCACTTAAAAAATGTGAGCAGTTGATTAGGGCGGTCATGTTATATTTTTCAGTAATACACGAAGACAGTTATTAAGACATCAAGTATTAAAAAAGGAAACCATTCTATTGTGCACTCTAAGCTCTTACATCAACTTTCCTGCAGCAGCAACATCAATGATGCTGCCTCTTAATTAATCTGTAATAAGGGTGCTTTTACCATCCTAATCATGCCACATAGCTTTGGCCAATACCTTGAAATGCAAAAGCCTTTTGAAAAGCACCTCAGCTATTCTCAGTTATGCCAGTACAAATCCACAGCAACCGTGCTGGGCGTGCTCTGGATTTCCATGCTGCTGTAACAGAGCCAAGAGTGCACAACTGTACTTGAGCAACGCCTCGTGCCAAGATGATTATCGCTGCAGCGAGAAGCATATTTCTTCTGCTGCGATCTGGCTCCTTGCTGGAGATCTCCACAGCCAGCAATCATTTTAATCCACGGGGCTATGAAGGAAAGATTATTGGGGAACTAAATATGACAGTGCTTTGTTTCTCAACTCAAACTCCAGGCTTCCCAACTTAATTACTGAACAAGAGAATTTTGTTAACTCCTAGCCCACAAATTATAAATTTGTTTAATTGAGACTCATGTAAATTAGCAGAAGAACAAAGTGTCAGCCAAGCTGCTGAGTGACAGAGCCACTGTTTAAAAACCAGGGCAGCCCTGACCCAAGACAAATATAAAAAGCCTCAAATGACATGTTGATAGATTGCACTCTCTGCAATAAAAATGCTTATGATCCGAGCATCAGTGTTGTCCAAATTATATACACAAGCTCTCATGCACGTCTGCTCCTCGCTGGAGTGGATTCAGGCTCATTGGTTGTTTTTAATAATCGCTTTCAAGTTGATTTAAACGAAGGACATTGGTTTTTTTTGTGCCAGTTAAATCTGAAAAGTGGGAATGGAAATGGTTAGTTATGCAGCTTAACCCCAATATTTAACACCAGCTCTCCAGATGCGCCACATGTATGGCTATATGCAGATCGCGGCTACAGGGGCCTATAAATCTTCAACAACTCCCTTGAAGTCAAAGGAACTCCTCCTGTAA